CAGCAGAAATGGGCATGGAAAAGCTAGAGTCCTCGGAGCATACCTTCTTATATTTTTATTTTTGAATCACACACTATTCCAAAAACTTTAAATAAAGTAATTGACAGTCAGGGTACCCTTTTTTAGCTACTAGAATGTTAGGGCTTGTTGCCATATATGTATGGTTTTGTTTTGTTGGTTTTTGTTTTGTTTTGTTTTGTTTTCTGGAACCGGGGATTGAACTCAGGCCCTTGCACTTGCCAGGCAAGCATTTATTCTACTGAGCTATCTCCCCGGCCCCTGTCTGTATTTCTTTAAAGCAGGGTCTCACTGTGTAGGTCAGGGTGATCTTTGAGCTCACTCTGTAGCCCAGGTTCACCTTGAACTTGCAGCGATTCTCCTGCCTCAGCCTCCCAAGGGCTGAGATTGCAGGTGCTTATTCTTAATCATGTGTGCTCCTCCTGTGCGTCTCTCTGCCAGCCTGCAAGTGCAATGGGCACGCGGACACCTGCCACTTCGACATTAACATGTGGATAGCATCAGGGAATCGCAGCGGCGGTGTCTGCAACAACTGTCAGCACAACACAGAGGGTCAGCACTGCCAGCGTTGCAAGCCAGGCTTCTACCGTGACCTCCGCAGACCCTTCTCTGCTCCAGACGCTTGCAAAGGTAAGTGAACGCACAGCACATGGGGGGGAAAAAAAGATTGATAGGAGCAAAAATTTTGAATTTGTTAGATGAAAGCAGTACACTATTCACAAGGATTGTCTTCTTTCTCACTCCCCGTGGAGTGAAGTCATTTCCTATAGTGACTCATAAAAGGAAAAGGCAAGCTGACTAATAAAAGGAAAAGGACTGGTGACTGGGAGCAATCTTGAAGATAATCTTGAGATTAAATATGTGAGTAAGATTTGGGGAGGCTGAGTCAGGAAGGTCACAAGTTCAAGCCCCGTCTGGGTGATTTAGCCACTTGGCAAGGCCCTGTCTCAGAACAACAAATAAAACACAGGCTAGGTCTATAGCTCGGTGTAAACGCCTTTTGTTCAATCCCAATATCAAGAAGGACAGAAGCTCACAGAGAGCACATTGGCCAAGCATTGGCTGTGACTCATCCACATGGCTGACACTGACAAAGGTTCTACAATCTGAGGTACAGGATCTCAGGATAATTCCTGAGGGCATTTCACTGACCTTCTCAGACCAAAAAACTACAACTCTTGTTGCACAGGTCCTGCTTTACCTTGGTCTTAACCATCCAGTAGAAAAGTATGAAGATGAAATATAGGAAGTAAAGCCATGTTGTTATGTTGAGCTGTGGGGAACTCAAGTCAATAATTTCTGACATTGCCAGTTAAACAGAAGACCCAATGCTATTATGGGCTACTGGACTCTTTTAGAATATTTTGCTGAGTTTACACACCTATAATATTCAACAACAGATCTTAAAAAAATTGGGGTATAACTATGAATGTCCATTTTGTATCTGTGTATTCAAAGTGGTTGGGATAGATATATAGTTGCATTCTCTTAATGAATAGAATGATTTTTTCTAATGGTGTTTGTAAGTAGGATCACAAGTCTGCATCTTGTACAGCAATTAACCACTAAGAAGAATTTATGCAGTGTATTATTTGTTGAAACTGTACTTTCGATTTGATTTGAAACTGTCTCATTGCTATATGTTTATCAATAAAACTTTGAAAAGAAAAAAAAGAAGGACAGAAGGAAAGGAAGAAAGAAAGGAAGGAAGGAAGAAAGAAAGAAAGAAAGAAAGATTGCTCCTTATTACATACATGTATTTTGGCATATTTTTTTTAAACTGGGGAAAAAAGTAAATATTAAGAATTATCCAGCTGGACTCAGTTTAGAGGATCCCAATTTTGCTGGCAGAATCCAATGCATCATACTCGGGAGCCAGCTGCACATACACCTTCTTCTCTCCATCAGGCCTGACTAAGTTATTGTCCTTGGCAACTCAATGTCATAGAGCTTCTTTACAGCTTGTTTGATTTGGTGCTTATTGGCTTTGACATGCACAATGAATACGAATGTGTGGTTGTCCTCCATCTTTTCTGTGGCTGACTGTGTTGATCAGAGGGAACTTGACGATGGCATAGTGGTCAAGCTTGTTTCTACTGGGAGCGCTCTTCAAGGGTGTTTGGGCTGCCTCCGGAGCCGCGGTGTCTTGGGACAGCAGAAGGTGGGTGATATTCGTATCTTCTTCTTTTTGTGGCTGTGGATGCCTTGCAGCACGAAGCTTTTGCTTTGGCTTCAGCTTTGGGAGGGGCAGGGGCTTCCTTCTTTCCCTTCTTGGTAAAAAGACTCTGGTGTAGTTTACTTGGGAAAAAAAAAAAAGATTAGAATTTTAAGAGATCTGCCTGATTTGTGTGACATTCCTTGCAACACGTGAGTAGGGAAGCACGTGCAAAGCCCAAGCACACGTGGTGGCCCGTGTGGCTCTCTACCTCAGCACTTCCGGCTGTCAGCCTGGAATTCGAGAGATGACAGGGCCGCTCAGCACTCACGCAGATTGATGACTGCGCCCTTCCTTTCCCTGCCAAGGACGCCTTGTTCCAGCTCAGAAAAAATGGTGACAGGAAGGGAGCGACACAATGGGAAGTGAGCACGGAAAACCTTGGGTTTTTTAGAAAGGAAAAAAAAATCATTCTTTAAAATACACATTTTTAGCTTCAGGGAGAAGATACAAAATCTCTGCACGGCCTTGGGATAGGCCCCTTGTTGCCAACTTGGCCTCTGACACAGCAGTGAGCAGATCAGGGCATAGCTCGCTTTCATACCAGGCTCCAGATCTGAGTTTGTATGGGAATATTTCTCCAAGAATTCTATCTTACTCCAATGCCCCAGACTTTCATTTAAACAGGTTTCGAGCCCGCCGTGCCTGTGGATCCCTGTGCCACTTCCTGGATCCCTCTCTTTGGACTCTGAATTCCCCGTATGTATAATTTCTCCCTGTGATGTTATGAGCACTAACATATATGTGCGTATGAGATCAACGTTTAACATAGTGCCTGACATGTAGTCAGCCCTCAAGAAATAAAAACTAGTATTGTAGTAAAGTTGTCCTATAAACTAAAAACTGGATATTATAGTGCTGCTAGCATTTATTGATTCAAAATGCCATATGTCAAAGATAATTACTTCTTTAAAAACCACAGTGCCTTATGGACTAAAATAAAGGAGCTTTATCTGCATAGGGTGACTACAGGGACCACTATAAAAATAGCTTGGAACGGGAAGAGATCCTATCCTAACACCATGCCATACCAGATATGTTCTAATACATAGGGATGTCTATCTGGGCATCCCATAGCCTCTGACCCCAAGCACAAATATCCAAAACTTAGAAGGCATGAATCACCACACTGAGAAAAGAGGAAAAGGGAAGAAGAATAGCTTAGATAAGTTAACAGCCTTGGACAACAGGTACAATTTCAAGAAGATTCTTTTTCATAGCATTTGCTTTAAACAGTATGCTGTACAGAAGAGCTAATATGTTCACTCCTTTATTCCTTCATTTATTCATTCATTCAGAACTTTATATTGAGTGCCTGTGATGTGCCCAGATTTGGAATGCACCAGAGAACAAAACAAAGATTCTTGCCTTTAAGGAGTATACATTCTAGCAGAGGAGACAGCCAATAAATTAAATTGATAAGAAATCAGTGGGTGAGAGGTGATACGTGGCGGCCTCACTGAAGTGGAACAAATAAAACAAGGAAAGAGGGATTGAAGGTCCCGGTGTGTAAGGCGGGAAGGAGTGGCATGGTACGTGCCCATAAGGATGATGGGGTGGGTAGCACTGAGAAGGTGACTCTAGAGTGAATCAGTAAGGAAGATAGACAAACATGTAACTGGGGAAGAGCACTGTGGGCAAATGCCTAAGCCATGCCCCAAGACAGGAAGGTGACAGAGGAGTCAAGGAGGAAAGCAGGGAGGTCAGCATCAGTGTGGGAGTTGGGGAGCAACAGGAAGTGAGATCAGAGAAGGGAACTGGAATAGGGGTGACCCACCTTCCCTGTGGGCCACTATAAACACCTCCACTTCACTTGGAGTGAAATGATGTGCCAGTAGAAGGGGTTCAAGCAGAGAGGTGTGGTGTGACTTGGCCTTTACAGGGTTGCTGCTGCGTTACCCAGAGGCAGGTGCTCCACACCGAACTTGCCCTACTAGCTTTCAGCATTAGCTGAAGTTAACAAACTCCAGAAGGTGGTCCTGGGCCGGTACCACTGTCTCCACCCAGAAAATGCGTTGGAGATGAAAATCCATGGGCCCCAACAAAGACAAACTCATTCAGAATTTGTATTGACAAGGGCTTGGTAATCTGAGTACAACAGGCCTTAGCAAGCCCTGCACAGTGATTATGATGTACAATGAAGTCTGAAAAACACCTTTTTAAATGATGTCCCCAATTTCGTGAGATTTAAAGCAAATTTCTAACATTTTGCTAGCACTTGAACATATAATTTGTGCTGGGATAGCAAACAGGAGATTATTTGCATTAATAAAAGACCAAAGGGAATAATGAAAGAAAACATCAGAAGATTGACCAGGGTAGATGGCTTTTTGGTTTTTGTTGTTTTGTTTGTTTGTTTGTTTGTTTTGTTTTGTTTTTCTTTTTGAAACAAGGTTTTGCAATGCAGTTCAGGCTGCCCTTGAGCTCACTTTATAGCCCAGGCTGATCTCGAACTCACAACAATCCTCCTGCCTCAGCCTCCTGAGTGCTGGGATTACGGGCATGGGCCACCACACCGGGCTGATCGTGGCTAGATTTTAAAGGCTCTTGACTACTATCCTAAAAAATGTTCATGTTTAGTTCCTAGGGCACTGGGAGCCACTGCAATAATTTAGTTAGAGAAATGTTATATACTTACAATATATTCTAATTATGTATAGCTCAGATTGATTTGAAAGCACTGCATATTATTCGTTGCCTTTTATTGCTAATTACTTTTTTTTTCAAAATTTTATTGATAAACAGATAGCAATTAGACAGTTTCAAATCAAATCGGAAGTACAGTTTCAGCAAATAATACACTGTGTATATTCTTCTTAGTGGTTGATTGCTGTACAAGATGCGGACTTGAAATCCTATTTACAAACACCATTAGAACAAATCATTCTATTCATTAAGAGAATGCAACTATATATCTATCCTAACCACTTTGAATACACAGATACAAAATGGACATTCATCTGTATACCCTATTTTTTCTAAGTTCCGTTATTGAATATTATAGGTGTGTAAACTCAGCAAAATATTCTAAAAGAGTCCAGTAGCCCATAATAGCATTGGGTCTTCTGTTTAACTGGCAATGTCAGAAATTATTGACCTGAGTCCCCCACAGCTCAACATAACAACATGGCTTTACTTCCTATATTTCGTCTTCATACTTTTCTACTGGATGGTTAAGACCAAGGTAAAGCAGGACCTGTTATTGCTAATTACTTTTAAGCTGGTTCTGTAAAATCATAAAACCGATAAAGTACTTTTTAATGCCTAGGTCTAACCAGTAGAAAAGAGAAAGAGAAAACAGAACTGGTTTACTGGCAGGCTGACTTGGAGCCAAAATAAATAAACCTTTTGTTTATTTTGGTTTAATTTTATTTTAGTTTTTGTTGCTGCTCTGTGTTAAAGCTATGGTTTGTAT